GGTGATGGGCTCATGTTTTGCGGCAAGAAATCTTTGTCCCCACAAAGACATTTTTAAGTCCGCTGTTTTCGTTATAATTCTTGACAATACTGCCATAAAGGCACTTAGTCCACTAGGGTCCCAAAACTCAGTCCAATCTCCCAATTTTGCTTCTGCGTTGTCACCCTGTCACATAGGCTTTCGATGAGGCCTACAAGTGGCCCTTCCAAAAACATTACGCAGACATGGTCCACTGTATTCACTATCAGAAAACCTCACCTAAGAAACCTCATGCAATGATCGCTGGAGTATTTAGATAGGAAGTGGCAACTAAGAAACTGCAGGAGATCAGCGGTACTGAGATTCAGCAAAAGGATAAAAAATAAAAAAAATTATTATATTTTAAATACGCAGTGCTTTAGCAAACGAAAATCACATACAAGGTTTGCATCTACCAAATTGTCCCCAACGACCCTAAATACACATGACTTACCACAAGGCCATATCTGTGCAGTCATGTGATACAGTATAACTGATATGTTTATAACTCAATTACAGCCAAAAGTCATGGCACCTAAATCAGCATTTCCTGTATCCACAAGTACAGCATCAGAGGATGAGCCTCACATGGTTGTACAATGAATGTCAGAGCAAAATGAGGATGCTAAACAGATCATGTGAGGAGTCATTTAAAACAGATTGGCAGATTAAAAAGCAGACAAGTTCCCCTGGACTAGAGTGACTCGGATCCTTGGCCCATTTACTCTGCACATTCTGAAAGACATAAACCTCACTGGTGGCAGGTGCAGAGTGCAAACCAATGTGCTTAAAGGAGAACTATGGGGTTAGGGCTTTTCCCCATAGTTCTCCTTAGGGTAACAGGAGGACACAAACTAGCGTCCTCCCGTTACCCTAAGCTCAGTATACCGCGGATCCCGACATCGATGTCGAGATCCGCCCAGCTGCGTGAGTGACAGCTGGCTCTGCCTATCTGGGGGCAGAGCCAGCTGTACCCACCCCCTCCCGTCAGCAATGGCAGATCGGAGCGGGGGAGGGGGGAATCCAGCCCCTCCCCTGTCACAGCAGAGAGCCGTGACAGGATCGAGAAGTGAGCAAACACCGGTATGTGTTCACTCACCTCCCGATCTACTGAGCCGACCTGTGACAGTCTCATTGTTACAGGTCGGCTAGAACTATGAGGTGAGTGGAAAGCACTCATCTCATAGTTCTCCTTTAAGCAGGGGTAGGCAACCATGGCATGCCAGTTGTTATGCAACTTCTAATCCCATGATGCATTGCAAGACAGCCACGACTCCTAAAGGCAGAGAAAATGATGAGGAGATTTGTAGTTTCACTACAGCTGGCATTCCAAAGTTGCCTACTCCTAAACCAGTCACCACATAGAAGAGCTCCTGTAGAGGAAAATACTGTCTACACCTGTCCCTGGAACCTTTCCACTGCTGCAGAGATACTCTTCATGTCCTACAAACCTCCCAAAGTGATGGATGACTAACTGCCTCGCTCCCTGACACTTGCTTCCCTACTCCAGGACACAGCAGTGACATGGAGGTCAGCGTGGGGAATCATGAGACATTTCCAGAAGTATCCATTTCTTCAGCGGACAATTGCTCCTGAAAAATTAGCAGCACCTGCTACTCCCTCCATGCAAAAACGAGGGAAACTGATCAAAAGCTGAATCAGACAGAATCAGGACCAGGTGCCCATGGCAACCAATCCGCATCTACCTTTTAATATAAGAACTGAACAATCTGAAACGAGAAGCTGATTGGTTACTATGGGCAACTGATACAGCTTTAATACATCGCCATTGTTTTGTTAAATAGTGTGGGTGCATTTAGAATATGGGAAGTTAGTCTAGCAGGCTGTACAAATCTGCACTGACAGCTTTACGCAAGCAAGAAAACGTAAATCTCCCGGAATTTCAATAAAATGATTAGAAAGGAGATCGGCCCACACAATCTAATCGTCCTAGAATTGGACCATGCGTGATCAGCGCTCCTAGACTTCCAACAGTTCATTAAAACGTTGAAAAGCACTATTCTGAAATCACAGCACAACTTCGAGTCAGAGCCAAATACACTGCGTCAAGCTGCCCGCATGTCTGGATGTGTGCACAGGGTGATGTGAGATGAAGAGGACGGCTCATACACACACTGATCTATAGACATCAGTAGGACAGATCAGTGACAGGGAAGACCGATAAGACATTGCCAGCACTCACCCATCTCCGCCATCTCTGCACTGGACACACTGCGAGCACAACACACGTGTAGACTACTCTCCGCTTCCCCTGGTAAAAGGCTATAAGCGGTGTCATGACCATGTGACCATACCATGTGACCAAGAGAATGGGCGGGGCAGTGAGCTGCGGGGAACCAACCAGAATGGGTAGTTTGTTGAAAGCAACAGAAAAGCTCCAGAAAATGAGTTAGTAGTGGCAGTCTGCAGATCTGTGCCGGCCGGGGGAACGCTGACAGCAATAGTGGGGTGTTATGTGAGGTGTACGGGAAATGGTGTGGTGCTGTGTGTGGTGTACTAGGAATAGTGGGGTGTGGTGTACAAGGAATAGTGGGGTGCTGTGTGATGTGTACTAGGAATAGTGGGGTGCTGTGTGAGGTGTACTAGGAATAGTGGGGTGCTATGTGAGACGAACTAGGAATAGTGGGGTGCTATGTGAGACGAACTATTGAGATTAAATCTTTCTAATAAGGATACAGACAGCAGTAAAAACCTCATAGTGACACGGAAGAAGAGGTGGGCACCCCTCGTCTGCACGTCTAACAAGAGCCAACTTCCTGTAATGTACGTACAGTACTACGAACCAGACCCAAAAAGGCGGCCACTCCTTGTCAGCATGAGCGCGGTAGCATTACAACTACCCTGCTGTACAGTAATAGCCTCCGTTTGTAAGTAGAAGTCGGATGTATGTAAATCGGGGACTGACTGTATAATGTAAGTATACATAAGAGATTATTCTTGGATAGCCACAAAAACTGTCTACAAATATATAGTATAATCTCCACCTACATATCATTACCTTATAAAATATACAATGGTAAGTATTCCCTACAGCCAAGTAGACAGACTGTGACCTGAGGTTCTGGGGGGTGCTTGACAGCAGTCCTTTACCTTTAGGCCTCATTCACACATAACTCATGAAAAACTGTCTGTGCGCGTATATACGAGCGTCTATGCGAGTATGTGCGTATATGCGTGCACTATTTGCATTCCCAGAATGCATCATTCCTAATGGAACTTTTAATGAACTGTACGCACATACGCACGCAAACATGAGTATGCGCGTTAAATACGTAGAAATACGCTGCCCGGACGCATCTCGGTTCCATTCTGTTTTTGCGCATATATACGCTACGCAAATATACGGCTCCATATGCGGCTATGTGTATGGAGCCATTTATTTGCATATGTTGCATGTGGTACAATACGCAGGTACGCGTGCATATGCACGGCAGTGTGAATGAGGCCTTAATGCTGCTTCCCAGACAGCTGGTTCCTTTTGTTTCATTTCAGGCACATCCTTGGCAACAGTTATCTATGAGGAGATTCTAAGTGGCATCGGATAAAGGTAACTATCACTATGTAACACACACTACATGGATTACAATGAATGCTGCCACAAGGTGTAGAAGAGGCGGGGCTTGACCAGTCACATGCCTTAGAGACTAAATTGTTTACAGTGGTAGCAGGTAACAACCTGTCCTGAAATCAGAAACATCACAAACATTGAACTGCCGGGAATAAGAATCTAGGTAAATGTTGTATTTCTTTTTATGGGGCGGGTTTTGTCTACAAAAATATATTTAAAAAACTATAAATGTTCCTTGTTTTTGTTTAGTGGGATATACGTACTTTTGTGATGACAAAAATTTCACTGAATAGCACAAAAACCTACCCGAATAATCAATTTCATTTAAACCTCTGTACTACACACTTATTAAAGTGACATTAAAGTCAAAGATTTAGTTCCCTCCCCCCAATGTTAATGTAAGCACTTACCTTAAATGATGTCTCTTAATCCGATCTTCTTCTTTCCTGTCGTTTTCATCTGTTCCTTCAGCGCTGCTGCGGGTCTCCAATCCAGCGCTGACTCCTCTGTTCTTGCTGGCACTTCCTTACCTATAGACTTACCTTGTGTCTCTCCTCGTCTCCCGGCCGAAAATGTGAACTGCGCATGCGCCCGCCCCAAGATGCATTGCGGCCACCCGCGAACTGTCACATTTTCGGACGGGAGCGCCCAGTCTTTAATCTCACTAATTACAACTAGAAATTGTACAATTTCTTTGTGATTTGTCAAAACAATGTCATATTTATTTATTAATTACAGGTATTTCTATAGCTCTGACAATTTACGCAACACTGAAGACTTCCTTAACCACTTCAAGACCAGGTGTTTAGACCCCCTTCCCATCCAGGCCACTTTTCAGTATTCAGCATGCAGGACTTTGACTGACGTTTATTCCGTCATGCAACGCTGTACTGAAATGAATTTTATACCATGCGGTGAATGTGAGGCGGGGAGGAGGTGCGGCGTAAAGAGCGTCCATGCAGGCGGGTCTGGCAGCGGCGAGTGTGAGGTGGGGAGGAGGTGCGGCGCATAGCGTGTGTGGAGCCGTGAACAGGGCCAACTGATCGGAAGCCGATTAATCGATTATTGAAAAAGTTGACAACTTTTTCAATAATCGATTATAATCGATTATGTCGATTAGTTGTTGCAGCCCTAGTTATTGGTAGGTCTAGATTGTAGGTGATTGTACAGTCAGATTGCAATTTGTGTTATGGGAGATTCACCCTCTCTATTTGTCCTGGTGACCATTGTCAGTGAAAGCAAAAAAGAAGCTCCAAAATTGTTGGTTGTCACCGGAGCAGGAATAGAGGGAAAATCTTCCAATGGGTGACCCTGCTGACCACCAAGGATTTCCCTCTCTTTTGGCAGATTTTGTCTGCAAAAATAATAATAATCCTTAATGCCTATTAATTTACAGCCAAATAAAGGATGACGGACCCTTCCTTGATAGATCATATGACTAGGCTGAAACTCAAACTACTGGAGAAGGTGAGGACATTCGCTTTCTGTTATTTACTATCTTGGCCAAAGGTATCTCAGCTCCTAAACTATGCATGAAACAACTTTTTATTTTGCACTGCGTTATGCAATGTAAAATATTTTCTTCTTGCTAATTGTTTACTGGGGAACATTTAGCAAGAAGAAAAATTTTACTTAAAGACCAACTGCAGCTTTTGTGTAATTGTCTTTTAATCCGTTCCACCCACCCCCTGAGTGCAGCCCATCAGCACAAATACTCCTTCCTTGATCCAGCGATCTTTGAAGGGCTAATCAGTAAAGATCACTAGATCAACAGATTCTTCCAAAAATTTTCCCACTGGGTGTTCCTCTTAGTGCGTATGTCTGCCACGGCCCCATTCATTCCAAAGGGCAAGACATACTCATGGCAGTCTACAAGGTTACAGAGCAAATCAGCCACAGCCATGACCACTGACAGGCGAAGTAATTAGCATTGATTATCTCATTACCATGGCACCTGGAAGTGGGGGGGATATATTAGGCAGCAAGTGAACATTTTGTCCCTGAAATTGATGTGTTGGAAGCAGAAAAAATGGGCAAGCGTAAGGATTTGGAGCCGAGAATCCCAGGAAATGTATACTTATTTACTATGGTCCTCATCTACATCTAGTGGCCATAATGCAGTGTTTTACTAATTCACTTTAAAAAAGAAGTAAACCCAGGCCGCCTTTTGTTGGCTTTACTCCTCTAATGGGTTACAGCAGCACATTTGTTAATGTATTCTTTTAACCAGAAGTAGCCAGGTAGAGGGCATAAGCCCGCTATCAGCTGACGGTGCAAAGCCACGCCACAGCCAAGAAGGATCAAAACAATATTGTCAGGATCCACCCAGCGGCCTAACTGACAGCTGGATCCACTGCTACGAGCCGTTGCCTCCTCCTTCCCTGTCTGTTGTTTCAGTGAACGCTGGAGCAGCAGAGGGGGTAATCCCTGAGGGGAGTGGTGACTTATAGTTACAGCTCACTGTATAGAGAAGAGACTGTGAGCTGACTGATCAGCTGTTGCATGATTGCTCAGCTCTCGGTGTAAGAGCCAACATTTGAGAACTGCAGTGTCCCACACTGGCTCTTAGCAGCGGAGAGAGTATTTCTTATTCTCCCTGTACTTCTCCTTTAACCTTAAGAATGGATTACATTCCACCTGGAAAGAAAAAATAATAAGATGAAAAATGGCCTAATTGTATGGAACATTTCTATTGTATATCATCAACAATCTGAAAAAAGAAAGCTGGTCTTCCTCTGTCTTGGATGCAGGGGCGTATCTGCCGCGAGGCAAACAAGGCGTTTGCCTCGGGCGGCAGATTCCAGGGTGGCTGCAAAAATGCTGCCCCCAAAACATTTAGGCATCCGGGCTGCACAGAAACCGGCAGCCTGGCTGCCTAATGTTAACGGGCAGGAGGAGACGGGGGACGGAGCGGCAGAGGAGATGGGGGCGGAGATGGAAGAGGCAGGGTGAAGACTGAGGAGACGGAGCGGCAGGAGTCAGGGGGCGTAGACAGGGGAGATGGGGCGGAGATGGAAGAGGCTGAGGCAAGAGCAGAGACCGCGATGGAGGAGGCGGAAGGCGTTGCCGAGGCTCGGGCTGGGTTTACCGTGCCAGGTAGGAGGACGACTGTGCTGGCAGGGCCCAACATAGGTTCTGTACAGCCCACCAAAGAGTCGCAGGTGGGCTGTGCAATACCTTTTTGGTGGGCTTTGCATGATCTGTGGGGGGCTTTGCAGGATATGTAGGGGGCTCTGCAGCCTTCAAATCCCACCACAGATCCTGCACAGCCCCCCTTGAGATCTGGCAGACTGCAGTGTCTCGGGCTATCTGTGGGGGGCTTTGCAGTGTCTCTGGGGGTCTCTGCATTATGGGGGGGGGTTTGCAGGATCTGTGGGGGGCTCTGCAGCCTGCAAAGCCCACCACAGATCCTGCACAGCCCCACCTGAGATCCAGCAGACTGCAGGGTCTCTGGGGGTATCTGTGGGGGGCTTTGCCGGGTCTCTGCAGGATCTGTGGGGGGCTTTGCAAGATCCGTAGGGGGCTCTGCAGCCTGCAAAGCCCACCACAGATCTTGCACAGCCCCCCTGAGATCCAGAAGACAGAAGGGTCTCTGCAGCCAAACCAGAATACAAGACTGCTTGGATGTTGGATTTTTCACAGTTTTCGCTATTGTTTATAATGAAATGTAATGGCCTGTGGAATGATGTCTAACTATTGTTAAATATGAATGAATACATTCAGTTTTTCATGTTTACAGAGATTAGAAAATGAGCGTGAGTTTGCTGATGATTCATCTGACACAGAGGTTACAACAGCAAGTAAGAATAGGAAATTATTTCTGGATTTCTACAATGTACTTTTATTCATTTTAGCTGCATGCTATCTTTAGTTAGGTATTAAAAGCACCTTTTTTGTCTATACCTTTTTATCCAGTGTATTTTTGAAGAATTCTGCTTGCTGAATCTTTGGTCCAGTTGCAAAACAAAATGTGTGGTAATACATGTGCAGTGGCAAAAGAAAGTTTGTGAACCCCTTGGAATTAATTGGGTTTTCTGCAGTACATTGCCATAATATGTCATCTGATCCCCATCTAAGTCACAACAATAGACAAACACTCCGAGGGGCATTTATATATATATAACTGGAGCAGTTGCCCAGGGCAACCAATCAGCTTCTGTGTTCAGTTAAGATTTGAAAATGAAAGAGAGAAGCTGATTGGTTGCCGTGCACAACTGCTCCAGATTTTATCTGCTCCAGTTTTAATAAATTCTCCTCAATGTGCTTAAGCTGATAATAAGGGGTTCACGTACTTTTTCTTGCCACTGTAAATTAATAAAAAAAAGTATCACAGTGTATGAAAAAAGCAGACATGTGAATGGACCTTAGCCTTTTTTTTTGCTGATTGGACAACTTTCTTGTGTATCTATGGTACCAGGCACTGCACATACTATTGCCAAGAAGCACACTTCTACAACTATATTGTGATATAGGTTCCTGACACCTATCCTTGAATAGTGCAATCACATTTATTTATTTATTTATCTTTTGAACCCTGTATGAACAGAACCTATATCTGGTCATAGACTTTAAACTTTGTGTCTACAAAGTATGACTGACTTTAAGAAGAGCTGTCTTCAAGCTTCAAGATAAACTTGAAAAGTTGGCTGGACTGAGCATACAAATTTTGTTGGAGATGCAAGGAGAGAGGTGCAGACAGACAGCTGCAATGCTCTACTATTTGCAGGAAAACAATAGCAATTGGGCAAGGTTAAACATTTTGCTTCAATTATATATTTTGCACTGTGGTACCATTCTAGTGTGACAATTGGCAGATGATGTTAAAGAAAAATGTATTTAGATAGGAAGTGGCTGAAAAAGGTTGGAGGGCATCAGTTGCACTGAGATGCGAACAATGATGGAAAAACATGTGCAAACAATGCTTTCTGGAAAAACAAAATAGAATCTGTTTATGATGTACAGCATTCATCTAACAAATGTCATCCGGTTAGGTTTTCAGATATGCTGTACATAATAACCTATTTATATAATGTTTAGGCGTCATTGTTGCCCATATCAAAATGAAATTGATCAGTTGTTATAAATACAGATTTGTCACTATACAAGACATGTTGTAAATCCCCCTCACGCAGACCTGTAGAATGTGCAATATGGTTTGACGTTGGTTATATTGTGATTGTTTTCTTCTGCCCTCAGGGAGTTATGATGGACAGGAAGACGCTCTACAATCTGCATTACGCAGGAGGAAGGACCTGCTCCACAAATTGAGAGTGAGTATAATAAAACACTGTACAAAACAGCAGTAAATACATTTATATGGATATATATACAGTACTGACGTCATCAGAAATATAGTATGCACATCAATGCAAAAGCTGTTCCCAAACTATCAATTTCATTTGTAGGAGCAACACCTCCTAGAAGAGATAGCACGGCCACATACCTGGGAAGGGACCCGCAGAAGGAAGATCAGCATAGAACCTATGGCAGCCCCTATGCACATTTACCACACATCGCCTCCACCAGAACCACCAGTGCGCTTTTACCCACCTCCTCCGCCACCAGAGCCGCCTAGGATCATTCAGCAGCAGGTATGGGCACCAGTACTTGACTGCAATTGAAACAGTATATTGTGTCATTGTTTATAAATATTCTGTAGCATGTACGTAAAAATAATTCATGGGCTTGTTATTTCATGGTCTTTTTACCTTAAAGCGATATTGCAATCAAATGCTGATCAAATCATTTACAGTGGATGCTGCTCCTTGATGTTTCAAAGTTTTCGTTTCCTGCAGAATCAGCTGTTCCCTTAGGAAATAACTCTGGTATTTTAGGGAGGCTCCTTTCCCTTGCAGGATCCTATGGAGCCACCCTTGTGTGTGCTAGTAAGCTGTGAGTGTCTCCACAAACACAGAGGTACAGCAAGGCAAGCCAATCCTCTGCTCTCCTTTCCCCATTCCCCATTCCCCATTCCTCCTTCCTTCTCCAAGCTGTTGGACCCTGCTCTCTCCTTTGTGATCCTATGCTGGGCAGGAAGTTCAGGGAAGCCCAACTGAGAGAGTCGAAGCCAGCTGTTTGGAAACGTGATGACTGTAAGTGCTTGGGAAGACATTCTTTGCTGGGCAATGTATATTTGTTTGATCTGGATTCATTATTGAAAAAAAGTTTGAGACTTTAAGGCCGGGTTCACACATAGGCGGCATTGTTTTTGCGCACTTGTACGTGCGTGTTCAGCGTGCGGTTATTTGCTTGTTTTGCACATTTTGTTGCAAGTTTATATGCGCCTACATGTAGACGCACGTTTTGGCTGGCGGCTTAAGAAATTTTGCGGGCAACAGATGAACACGCTTACAAACAGGCAAAAACGCGTACGAAAATGTGCAACATGCATCTGCTGCGCGTTTTCGGGCGTTTCCATTGAAGTCTATGGGGCAAAAGTGCGCTATTAGCTGCCCAAAGAAGATGATGTACCTTTTTGGGCATTAGGCATTTTTCTGCTGTCGTTTTGCTACTCAGGTGTGAACAGGGGCCGTTGAAAATCATGGGATTTCTTGTGTTAAAAGCACTTTTCCAACTGCTCAAAAACTAAGAACCAGGCCTAATTCTACTTTAATGTTTTGTCTTTTCTTGATCTCTGTGTCCAAATAAAGATATTTTTCTTCAAAATAGAAAATCCTGGGCTCAATGTGATATCTTCATAGAGGATATGATTCTAGAGTCAGTAAACATGTTCCTGTACATGAAGAGAAATTTGGAGACTTCTTTTAGAATGATAGCAACTTGTTATATTCACAGGTGTGATAGCTGGAAGCCTCCACAAGCAAAGAAATAACAACTACAGGAGCAGTGATAAATCGGGTCTTATCCTGCCTTGCATGTCCAACAATTGTAATGCTGGGCACACACCTTACAACCATCGCCAGACTTTTGTCTGGCGATGGTTGTGAGGTAATTAAAAAAAGGTACGATCTTGGACAGGTAGATTGTACTTGCGATGATCGCAAGCCCGCCCCGCTGAGGGGCGGGCTTCTGATGACCGCAATGCCGAACGGGCAGTGTGCGCTTGAGCACACCGGTCCGTGCAGCTTTTATCTTGCGAACATGCCACAAACCAGCCGATGTTCGGCTGGTTTTCGAACATGTTTGTAAGATAAAAGTCGTGCGACCTTACAGTAGTAGAGGTCGCACGCCTTCCACACACCTTACGATAATCGTACCATCGAGGGATTTCCCGCGATTATCATACGATTATCGCAAGGTGTGTGGGCACCTTAAGACTGAGATGCAGACCCAAGAAGTTAAAGAGGCCATGCAAACCATATTTAGATGAGTCAGTTTTCTGAAGTCTAGCATGGGTAGCTTTTATCGTATTAACTAACTTTACCTGCATTAGTGTGTTTCTGGCTAATGATACAATGGAAGAGAATTTGTCCACAATTTACTCCACTCTTCCTCCTGCAATCTTGGTACACCATTCTGCTACCAATAGAAGCTTTAATGCAGCCTAGGGAAGGTCTCTGGTAATAGGCATACTATATAGAGAGCTTTGACAAAGTTTTAACTAACATTCTATTAACTCTAAATGTTGTGTGTTTTCATTTACAGTTACCCCAGCAACCAGCAACCATTATTCAGCAGTTACCTGCACAGCAGCCGCTAATCACTCAGATTCCTCCTCCACAAGCCTATCAGCCACCACGCTCAGGCAGCATTAAAGAAGGTCAGTTGATGACATACTGGGGGGAATTTATCAAAACTGGAGCAGAGAGAATCTGGAGCAGTCGCCCATGGCAACCAATCAGCATTTCTCTTTAGTTTGCTCAGGTAAGATTTGAAAATGAGAGGTAGAAGCTGATTGGTTGCAGTGCAAATCTGCTCCAGTTTCGGCGCTGTACCCAAAGAACTCTCTTTTGAAAATGACTGCAGATTGTGACCTATGCTGCTTTCTAGACATGTGCATTCAGATTCGAAGAACCTGCAAATCAACGAAAATTTGATGCTGAAAAACTATTCAGGCATATATTAATTTGTTTATAGTCCGTGCAGCGGCCATATTGGCCACTGACACGTTCTGCGCATGCACAGCACCTTCTTAGAAGCAGAGCACATGACGTCACATGACACGGTGTGTGGCGACGGGTGACGTCATACGCATGTATGGGCGCTGCCATCTTGCATACACCAAGATAGCGGCACCCATACATGCGTATGAGGTCACCGCACGCCGCACATGCACGGCGCCATGTGACGTCATGCGCACCGCCTCCAAGATGGTAGCGCGCATGCGCAAAACATGCCGATATATGGCCGCCGTGCGTTCTGCTGTGTGCAATTTTGGTTTCGGGAGTTCGTTGTCGTCTAATCCAAAACAGCATAATTATTCGTTTTGTCAAACAAAACGAATGAAAATGTTTTAATTTTTCATTCGTTTTGTCTGAAATAAGTTTTTATACTGTGCACATGTCTTCACTTTCCCTTCTCTGCGGATTTAGCACAGGAGTGGATAACCATTCCTACTTCATGTTGCTCCCAGCACAACAGGACCCAGTTGCTGGATAAAAAAAAAAATTGGAAGCCCTCTCCAATAAAATTCCTTCCCCTCCCTGGAGAGTGCCATATTTCTTGTCAAATAAGAAGTCTAACTCTAATGGTGGTAGACATGTTTTTTGTGGATGAGGGAATCAAGTGTTTTTTTTTTCTCATTCTGCTGTGTGGCTGAACAATAAGAACTTTTTCTGGATCACAAAGCAGATTTCATTTCTAATCGCAGGCTCACAATTTATGTGGATGCTTTTGGTGACATTTTGTATAATACCCATTTCAAGAAGTAAAGTTTTTCATTTATGGTAAAACGGTGGTACTATTGGCAGTTTGCAATTCCTTTTGGGGTAAAAGCCAGAAATAAATGGTGCTTTCTGGTAGTGAGCAGATTATACTCAGATTTACATATGGTGATTGTAGTCTGTGTCTGGACCCCGGCATTTGTGGAAACAATAGTTCTACCACCAATTTTAGGCTTTAAAAGAAATTAATAAACTGTTATTTTTTATAAATATGTGGGCAGTTTTTTTTCATGCAGACCCATTATTGTGGAAATCCTATTCAATTCTCTTTTCTTTGACTTTTTTCCCTTCTAAAAACGAACCTTTTGTTTCAGTTAGATAATTACTCTTATATAAATGAGAGAATATTTTTCTCTGATTATATAAACTTGATTATTGACATAACGTCAGCACTGGTTATCTATGTAGCATCTACCCTTGACATAACCCACTTGAAAGAAGTGAAAGACAGCTTCTTTCTGAAAGCAATGGTGGTGCACACCATGAAATATACAGATAAAATGTATTTTCAGAGAATATTTGTTTTCTGTTAACTTGCTTTTGAAGACATGGTGGAGATGATGCTTATGCAGAATGCCCAGATGCACCAGATCATTATGCAGAACATGATGCTGAAAGCACTGCCCCCTATGGCACTGTCCCAACCTGCCGGAAATGTACCGCCTGGTCCATCTCAGTGCCAACAGGTAATCTCACATTTATTATCCGGTCTGTTTCACATAAAGTCTGCTTACATTACTCTGTCCACTCCAGTTATGTGTACATTTGTTTATAGTTTGTCAAAGTCTTTTTTTCTTTTTGATTCATGTTTACCACGACACAGTTGTTTGCGACTCTCTTTATTGAAAATGTTGATAGAAATGTATTGAAAGGAAAATTCAGTCCCCACCTAGCTTATTAGGCCTCATTCACACACGTCTATACGAGCGTCTATGCGTGCACTATTTGCATTCCCAGAATGCATCATTCCTAATGGAAATTTTAATGAACTGTACGCATATACGCGCGTATAAACACGCAAGCATGCGTAAACGTGTAAAATACGCAGAAATACGCTGCCCGGACGCATCTCGGTACCATTCAGTTTTTGCGCATATATACGCTACGCAAATATACGGCTCCATACACGGCTATGTGTATGGAGCCATTTATTTGCATATGTTGCATATGGTACAATACGCACATACGCGCGGCAGTGTGAATGAGGCCTTAAAGTGTATGTAAAGCCAATTGTTTGTTTGTTTGTTTTTATTTTGGATGGAGTGGGACATGATTTGAATCCATGTCTAGTTTATACAGCTATCCAGAGATTCCATTAGAGAGATTTCCCTCACATCCTGTCTTGCTTACAATAATTTTACAAGCGAGAGAAAATCTGCAACAGGGACACAACCAGCAATAAAAATCTCATTGGGGTTCTAGTCTTCCCTTATTCTACGAAAAAAAGCATTTTAACTCCTGACTTTGGGGAAATCGCCTCACTTCCTGTCTGGTTGAATGTTGTCACCAAGACAAGAAGTGAGGGGAAATATCTCTAATACTATCCTGTGTAGCAGTAAACACCAGACAGGTATTCTTTTCTTTCCCCACTCTATCCAAATCTAAGAGGGAGAAAATATGCATCTTGTATATCTTACCCTGCACAATTCTAACAATTTAAAAATAAATGCTGAGATTCTTTTGTAGGTCCATTTATGAATTTTTTTTTTAATGGATCTTTACTTTTTTATCTAGTTAACGCAAACCCATACTTCAATGTTAACTTAAAGCCATGCTAGTGTTGAGCAATAGAAAGGCTGCAATATGTATGTTTCCTGGAGAAAATACTGCACCTGGTTTCCCTCAAGTGATGCTCACATAACCAAACAACCTAGACTTTGCTCAAAGGGAAGATCAGCTATTTGTAGGAAGCACTGGAGAAAGTCTGGAACAAGATTTCCTCCAGAAAAGGTAAATATTTAAGTTCTTCTAGTTTAATTTCATTCTCCTGGCATACACTGCAAACAAAGATTTAAGTTTAGGTCCACAGTGTCCTAGGTTGACAACCCTGACTACTCTACTGTATCAGGACAGCAGTCACAGGAAAGGACAACAAACCCCCCACCCCTCCTTTTTTCCATTTGTACAAAGCAGCCCGTTTCTGTGGTCCTCGGAGATAATTATAACCAATAACAATGTAACACGGTTACAGAGCACAGGAAGTTATCAGCTAACAAGATTTCTAGCAAGATCAACAGGTTGGATTTTTTTTGCACAGACATCAAACGAAGCACTGGCATGGCATATTTAAAAGACCAAAGGGATCAAGTAAAAGAGTTTGTTGTAGTGGTTTGCATACACTTTAATCTTTATTAATACAGTTATAAAGTAAATTCTTAATGATATGCCTTTTATTTCACGTTACTTCTAAAAGCCCATTGTATTTTCTTTTTAGGATCCTAACTATGGCAACCCTGTTGTGCTTAGAGCAGAAAAGGTTCGTCCCACCTCAGTACATCACCATCATCACTATACACCTCCTGGCGTTCCTCAAGTTCCGCCAACCCTACAGCCAACAATTGGCTATCCAATGTGGCCACAAATGATGCCTTCAAATACCATGGGGCATATAGGTGGAGTTCCTCATGCTGTGCATCATGTTACTGGCCCAACTACAACACTACCAGCAATGAACATGTAAGTTATCTACATTCTGGTGACTCGAGAGTAAATTTAATGAAATGCATACAGTAGCTAGCATAGTCCCAGTCTTCTGTATAATAATGGTTCCACCTAGTACAGTAAACTCCCAGTCATCCGGCACCCACGGGGATCGGTAAGTGCCAGATAACTGTAGTTTCTGGTTGCTTTAGAGATAAAATAGTAACTCTCAAGCAACCATCCCGCGGCGCCCAGCTTCCCCCTGCAGCCCCATTTACCTGCAAGCTAGCTTCTGCAGCCAACAGGTGAATGGAAGCAGCTGGGAACAATAGCCAGCCTGCTATTGGCTATTTCAAATTGCAATAGCCAATAGCAGGCTGGCTTTTGAAGCCCCAGCTACTGAGCAGAGAAGCGGACCTGAAAGAAAGTTTTCTCTCAGGTCCACTTCTCTGCTCAGGGGGCAGGAACAATAGCCAGCCTGCTATTGCAATTTGAAATAGCTAATAGCAGGCTGGCTATTCTTCCCCATTGTTTACATTCTGCTGCCGACCGGCAGCAAAATGTAAACAAATAATTTCATTAGCAACTAAATAAGTTTAGTTGCTAACAAAATTTTTAGTGTGCACCAAGCAACTTTAATGCACATCAAGCCACCGGCAAAGAAAACAAATGTCCTCAATTTTTTGCTTGAGTGCCGGTTGTTTAAATACTGTATAATGTGGAGTTTACTGTATTTTGTTTCTTCATGTGTCTTATGTGTCCCCTCACAACATTTTTTTTTGAAGTGCAGGAATGGATGGAATGTACCCCAGAGTGCCGAGCATACTATAAGACCCTAAAGTGGATAAGGTGAGTGTTAGAAAGATAGAAAATCATCTTTAACTTCTAAATAAAATGAACACCTCTCAGATGATTCAGATCTTGGTACCCTCGCAAACAACAGTGGAACCCTGAGTCCCTGTTAACAGCTATGGGGTCTATTCACGAAGCTGCCGAAGGATCTGGCTGTAGCTTCGGCCGATCCTTTGGCTAGCTTCGGCCCTAGGACCCCTTCGGTTCAGTAGAACCGAAGGGTCTTGGCCGGCCGACAGCCTACTTCTGACAGCTGGGCGGAGTGGCTCCGGCCACTTGCAGAGAGATCAGTGTCCCTGGTTACCAGCTATCCAGGGACACTGATCTCCAAACAGCTAACTCTCTCCCTGGCGCCCCGGGAGTCTCCGGCTCCCGGCCGCCAAGGAGAGAAACACTGCTGTCTTTTTTTTCTTTATTCTGTCAGAGCGAAGCGATGTCAGAATAGAAAAAACATTTTTTTCCCATTGAAAAGCATTGGTACATTACTATTGGCTATTTCAATTTGCAATAGCCAATAGTAAACTAGCATTGTACCCGCCCTCTGCCGCAGTTCTCCATCAGGTCCATCAGCAGAGGGCGGGTACAATGCTAGTTTAGTATTGGCTATTGCAAATTGCAATAGCCAATAGTAATGTACCAATGCTTTTCAATGGGGAAATTTCTTTTTTTCTTTCTATTCTGACATCGCTCGTGTCAGAATAAAGAAAAAAAAAAGACACGGCAGTGTTTCTCTCCTGGGCGGCCGGGAGCGGGAGGCTCCCAGAGCGCCCGGGAGAGTTTTTTTTTTAATCGTTTTTTTTTTTTAACAGCAGCAGAGCCGCCGGACAATAGGAAACTATTGGGCGGAGCTAGCTGTCACTGCTAGCTCCGCACAATCGTTTTCCATTGACTTTTTTGTACCTTTTTTTTAACTCTTTTTCTGTTCTGCTCGGTACCCCTGAGGAAATCAGCCGTACCAGCCTGAAGTGAATAGCCGAACAGTGTTCGGCTCACTTCACTTCAGGTCGGTCATTCACTCGGCTGCCTACGGCAGCTTAGTGAATAGACCCCTATGTGTTTCATGAACGCGTGGCAAATATGCGCGCTTTGACACGTTTGTGAAACGTGTCAAAAATGCAAAACACGCTTGCTGTGCCATTACCAGATAATGGCACCCCAAATGTGTCTGGGAAGATGTGCATTTTCTCTATCGTCCATTGAGGGACATAACTCTGAAGAATTCTGAGACGTAGGGTTATGCTGCTGGCTCCAGGAGGAATGGATACTAGGCAATAAAATGTAAAGCCTGTCACTTTAAGGACATAACCCCTCACACCTGCCAGTTTCGCTTAGTGTCCTCAGGAGACTGGATGTCTCTTTCTCTTCTGCTCTATTATTTAATTTGTTTTATTTCTTCAAAGAGATTCTACTACAGAGGCTGCTTGATGGTCCACACCGGATAATGTTAAATCCTGGGAGTTCTCACTAACTAGCCGACATGACAGAGATTCATACCGGATAATGTTAAATCCTGGGAGCTTCTCTGGTCTTCAAGGTGCAGATCGTCTCTAGTTTTAGTACTTATGTACTTAAGAATATTTAGAAAGGGCCCCGTGTAAAAAAACCAAGAATAAGGTGTGTGGGGTTCCCTCTTAAAGTCATACCAGACCCTTAAGGTCTGGTAGGAATTTTAAGGAGGGACCCCACCCCCCAAAATGGGGGGGGGGGGGGGGGGGAAACGTGAGGTCCCCCCAAAAATTCCATACCAGACCCTTGATCCGAGCATAGGCCTGGCAGGGCTGGAAAGAGGGGGGGGACGAGCGAGCACCCCCCCCTCCCATACAAGGCCACATGCCCTCTGCACTGGGACACCGTGCCGATGGGGACAAGGGCCTCTTCCCCACAAGCCCTGGGGCGTTGGTTGTGGGGGTCCGGGCAGGGGGCTTATTCACATCCGGGCACACCTTTAATAAAGGGGCACCCAGATGCCGCCTCCCCCCCTTGTGAATGAGTGAGGGGTACTTGTACCCCTACCTATTCACTAAAGGGTTAAATAAAATTGTAAATAAAAAGTCCAGACTTTTGAAAAAATCTTTTATTTGCAAAAAAAAACAAAAGACAAGTTTTTGACAAGTCTTTAAAAAAAAAAAATAATTGATCCACCGATGTAATTCAGGGTCAATCACAACGTCCAGTGTTGTCCACGACGACTCAACAAAATAAAAAATAAATAGAAATAATTTTTAAAAAACTACAACAGCCGTCCTGTAGCTGCGACGAACACCCGCTGCATAATGGCATATTGACAGATGCCGGTAACATAAAAACATTTGGGCGAAGCTAGCAGTGAAAGCCATCATGACTTTGCCCTATCATGGCTCTCACTGTTCTCTGTGCACTTGACCTGTGTCGGGAGCAGAACCGTGGAATCGTGAATAAAAAATGTATTTACCTCATGTTTTGGGACACTGCTGCCACCCCTCAAGTTCCTTTGTATTGCTTGCTACAACTGGTAGGTGTGAAGTGGAAGGGGTTATGTCCTTAAAGTGACAGGCTGTTATTTCTTTGCCTAGTGTCAATTTTTCCCTGGGGCAGCAGCATAACACCATGTTTCAGAATTCTTTAAAGCTGTGTCCCTCAACTGACTCCAAGAAAAGGATTTTACGGTAACAACAAAATCCTATTTTTCTCTTCCAGTTGAATGTATTCAAGCTATTGTTTTAGGGTATTTTATGGTTTAATGTGTTAGGGCAATTGTTTTTGTGTGTTTTTCTTCTGGTTGAATGTTTTAGGCTATTCTGTCTACTGTAGTAAAACAATAGTACAAAGGAGAAATCTGCCTTTGTTTGAGTTTAATAAAGCATGCAGCAGAAAACACAAATTATAAATCATTACAAGTATTGCAGGTATATTATTGTAGCACTTATGTCCAAATGTACAGCAGAACAATCATCAGCACAACATGCAATAGCCTAAAACAGCCTTAATACATTCAACCAAAAATTGGCTAAATAATTGCCTATGTACATTTGACCAGCTGGTTAATACGCACAGAACGAATGTACACACAGTTTTGCTGGATGAATAGCTTTGAATTAACTCCCATGCACATCCAATACATGTCATTCCACACTGGCCAGTCAAAATGGCTGAAGTCGCCAAACCCGGAAGAAGATCGGGATGTGGGCACAAGCAAGGGAGCTCACAGAGGTTACATTGCTGGTGCAGAGGTAGGCTTATTTCCGTTTTAAAAATGCACATCTCCATTCTAAACTCAACTAATGCACTGGGTGAAGCCATTATTCTCTATAGACAGGCCGGGTTATGTGCAGGAAATCAAAAGCCATATTACAGAAGGAAACATATAGACTGTACTGGCCCTGAGGAGGCCAGGCAGTGTAAACCTGTGCACTTTCTGTTCATCTGAGGTATGCGTTTTTATTAACAATAATACGTCCACTTCTACAAACTTAGAAAAGCACATCACCACATGAGGGGTACTTGTATACAAGTCAAATAACTTTCTGGTGTATTATTCAGGGGTACTTGCATGCAAGTTAAATAACTTTCATGTGTATTATTTTTTTCTTTCCACTTTTATTGCTGACTTAAATAAGTAGTCCTAGGGCTAGCATCATGTGCCTAACTTCACCACTCAGTGGGTTACTGACCTGTAGCAAGCATGCAGGCTGTAAATTGTTGGGATATGTAATATGTCCATGCTTTGTCTGTGTCAGGAACAAATCAATGAAGCAGGCATGAGAATGACAGCTGCTAGCTGCCTTATTCCTAACCTGACAGATTCTACATTGTAGTAGCAAGGTTTTCTATTATAAGGACTACACTCTTGAAGATCATGGGGGGAATTTATCAAAACTGGAACAGACAAAATCTGGAGCAGTTGCTCATAGCAACCAATCAGCTTCTCTCTCTCATTTTCAAATCTCAATTGAGCAAACTGAAGAGATGCTGATTGGTTGCCATGGGCAACTGCTCCACATTCTGTCTGCTCCAGTTTTGATAAATCCCCCTCCATGAGTCAGTTGGTAACAAGGGTTTTCAATATCATCATTGACAAATCATTTGTTTGTACTTAGATATGTTTATAGAGTTCCACCTTTTAAACAAAAATACATTCATTATTGGCAATGTGTTATTCTTGTTGCAGATATATACCTGAAGAACAAGAAATAATGACTATGCATAGTGTTCATAAATAAAAGACCTAACCTGATAACAGACACTTATCGATTCAAAATGGCTCCCATAGGTGACCGACTAGAATCTCAGGATGATTGCCACCAGCCTTTATACTCAGGAGATCCTTCTGACTATGTACGGGTAGACTGTGGGCCTGATTTACCAATGTGCCAAGTGAGGTGAAATGCAGTGAAGAGAAGTGAACTAGTGAACAGCTAATCATGTCCAGTAGAATAAAATAAAATAGAACTTCTCTTGCCTATGACTGGATGTTGTGACGTGACCACAGGTTACTTCATTGTCCTTCACACCTCACTAAATTGGGCTCAATGTTCTTACATAGCTCTTAAATCATACTACAAGACAAATCTTTGTAACACAAAAAATCAATTTCTTTTATTTGTATTAGTTGTACTGACATTCTAATTATGTACAAAGATTGTTAAGCTTTTTATCTTATGAGATATTGTATGTATTAAACAAATAAAAATATTTGCAAAGCAGTTTCTGATATTTGTGTGGGGTAGTCAGTTTCTATGTTCTACAGAGGGTCTCCACACAGGCATATAGACGATGAATGAAAACATTAAAGTGACATTAAACCCTCAGATTTAACATAAACCAATACTGTAATGTGTGCCTTACTGTAATCCATGGTAGTTTTCCTTCTCTTTGCTGCTCTTCCTTTTTAAATCCTTATCTCTTCTCATGCTGGGGGAGAACTTCCCTTTGCAGCTGAGTGCCTCTTCCTGTAGTGCTGGCTCAGGTTGTGAACCTGCACACAGACACCATGTATCCATGAATCTTCGACCATTTGATTGGCCAGTCAGATTTATTTACTTGATCCCAGCTCCTGCGGTGGTCAGCACTCACCTCTTTCCCCCTCCTGTCTGATGGAATGTCCCTCTGAGTTCTCACATCTAATGCAGGTAAATAGACCTGCATAAGATAGGATGGTGTCAGCGGTCCTTAAATCGCCAGAGCAAAGGGGAGTTGAAAGTTTGTGGATTTGGGGTTTTCATGTTATTGAGGAGTATGCAGTAAAATTTTCATGGACATGAGAATGACAAAGATTTCTTTATGCTTCAACGTATCTCTTTATGCTTCAACGTGTTGGGGGGGCTTCGAGGAAATATCAGGGGTCTAAACAGACCCCTGACATTTTTCTTATGAAATAGAAAAAGAGATTGAGGACAGATTCCTCTGCCCATACAGGTGAGGGAGAGCAGCGGGGATCCGAGGAGAAGCTGGAGCCAGTGCCGCTCTTCTCCCTGCCGAGCCGTGGCTATGTTGGCTGCCTGGCGCCCCTGTTGCCAATGGCGCCCTGTGCTCACCATGGCAACAGGGGACACACCCAAGCCGGCCCTGGCTGCACCCCCTCTCAGCTGTTTCTGAGGTGAGTGCCTCACTCGCCCCAGGGTAGCTACAGCCCTGCACCACAGCTGCTTCAACCTCATATGAAGTCCAACGTTAGTCTCCCGCAGTGCATGTACAGGAAGTCTCCATCTGCAGGCAAAGTCCAGTACAAAGCAAAATGATTCCTGAACACAATCCAGTCCTCCAAAATTATCCTTTATCCGAAACTTTACAGGTGATGCATAAAAGCAAGCATGGCTTACAGGTAGTGTAGCTGGCAAGGATAAGCAATTTTGCCTTGGAGAAACATGGTAAATTTGAAGATTGATATCAATCAACTTTGGGTACCCAAGGACATCTGCTTGTTCCTGACAAGTACACTTTTCTATGTGCAAAGATGTCATTTTTTGTATGAAATCTCTCTCTGTGTGTATAAGCACTTTAAGAAACATTACATATTGCTCTGCGACTGTGGCCTCCTCTCCGGAAGCTGGAGCCTCTTAAACGCTTCCTTCTACCCACTTCTTGGCATCCCATTTCGACAGATGTCAACAGAATCCCTCCAGCTGTCTACCTGATATGACCCTCCTCACTTTATCAGCTGGTTTACCTATGTGCACACCCTGGGGGGCTCCATGGGAACCACCTTCCACCTTTGTCTCCTCCTTCTCCCCTCCACCTCTTTTTCTCCCTTCCCCCTTTCTTTTCATCCCCTTTTTTTGCCTTTTACTGACTTTCCGTCAGCTTGGCGCAACCTGTTCTGCTATGGTTTCTTCCTAAGGCACTTTTGCGTTCCTACCCTTTCCCCTCTCTAGCTTGGGCCATCACCAAAGGTGATATAGATGACTTTTGGGCCAACAGTTGTTGCCTTTATTAGTGCTGGTCAAGTGGATTCATGTGAGAAGACACTTGTACCTAACTGTACTCTGCTAAATGCTGGGCGACCTCGCCTCCTTACATCCCCTGCCCTCTCCCCCTTTCTCCTTCTGTACCAATGGACCATTTGAAAATTGGAAAAATCTTTTCTTCTTTTAATAAAAAATGTTTTGAAATACAAAAAAGAAACTCTACATAGGAAAATTCTGGGTCACAGATGACTCTGTCACTAGTGGTCAAAGTAGTTTGTCGTCAGTGGCTTTAAAGCAGATCCAGTGGTTTTATTTATCTCCCATAGAACCTCATTTTCTCTATCAAACATCTGCAGAAAAAAAAATATATAAATGAAGGTTTACATAATGTATCTTTTTAAATCATACATTTTTTATTTCAATTCATTAAAATACTTACAAATTAATAATAATAAAAAAAAAACTTATGCAGATTCCTCTATTACAGTCAGTATCAACAACCCCAGAGTCACAACCAAAAATCATACATGGATATTACATATACTTTTGAATATTTCTTAATTAGAAGAAAGCTGTTCTGGGTTCTCATGAACAAGCAAAATAAGAACCCAGAACAACTTTACACCCTCCGATTTAGAAATTTTCAAAAACATATGTAATAGCCATGTATGATTTTATGCTGTGGGTGAGGTAATACTCACTGTTATTACAGGAATCTGCATTTTTTTTAACATTTGTATCATTTATATATTATTTATTGAATCATAATAAAAGATGTATGTTTTATATGTCTTGTAACTTAAAAGGGATGTTGGTACCCCCATAGGGGTAAAATACCTTCCCAGACATCAAACTTTTTAAATGATTCATGTTTAACATACAATAAATACACTTACAAAATGCAGTACACAAAATGTTCTCTTGGAAATTACATGGAGAAGCCAACAGAGACTTTAGCGTTATTGCACAAACCAGCAAACTGGGGATATTTCGAATGGTTTAGGAGGTGCAGAAATAAACAGGAAATATGGTTCAACTTGAGCTACAACAAAGTGCATATTATGGTATAAAAATGTGTTTATTTTTGTGCTGTAAATTCCACAATATATAATTGTCACGCTTTGCCATCATTTTTCTGTAAATGCACCAACCTGCCTCCAGTCTTCTAGCCTGTCATGAGTGTAGCCAAGCAGATGGCAAAGACCATGTACCGCCATTACCTGACAGAGAGAACACCCAAGAAGTGTAAGTCTTACATTATTTTTAAGGATTCAAAATTATATTTAATAAGCAAGTTATAGCATTTATATCTCGAATACAAAATAACCTTCCTAACATCTTCTCACATTAATCAGGAGACGCCTCTTTTACAGCAGCTCTTATGTAGCACTGTACACTAATGCAGTATATATGCAGGGTAACAACTTCTAATGACAAAACAATGGAGGTATGAAAATTACTGCAGAATGAAAAGGAAGTGTGGTCACCAAAACACAAATATTAAAATTTACAGGTTGGCTAAACGCAATAAAGAACATTGTAGTGTGAAGCAACGCACATGTAATGGTTAGGTGGGTTGGGGTGCCTTTAAGAAATGTCATGCCAGCATAGCAAACAGTGTCACATTCGATCTTGTGCAATGTGTATATGTGAACAGGCTTAACGTTTTTGTTGTGATCTTTGAGAATGAGTAACTTCATAGTACAAGCAGCTAGGAAGGCTGCTCTTTGATGGCTTGTTTTTAGGCTCTTTTACAGCTTGTTAAGAATATGTAAATACTTTGAGTTACATAGTATGGGGGCAGGTATACTTTAAAGCTGAACTCCAGTCAAATTGATCAATTTTGTTTCTATTTATGGACCCAGAGTCTGTTCCTGGAGACTGGAGGACAGTCAGAACATACATGCATATTTGACCAACCTGGTAGGTCTATGTGTGGCCTTTGCTCTAACCAGTAGTAATGCTGTAGTAATACCTTTAGAATGATGGAGTATGTGGAAGTGACTGTATACAGTCCACTTTGAGTAAGAACGAATGTGTTTGAATCTACATCTTTTACATATCAAATAATGCTGACTTATGAAAACTCAGGACATATAGGTAACTCACCGTTAAGATGCTCTTAAAATCCTCTTGCGTTTCTTGACATTGTCGATACATAAACTCAACACCAAGGTAGATGTCACCCAGATTATATTCATCTTGAAATGATGGCTCAGGTAGAAATCCAGGATGGACATTCTACAAGTGTACAAACACAAAATACATATGTAAAAAAATTATATTAGGATAAAATTGCTGTCCTTCTAGAAGTGTTTATCTTTGTACCTCGTGAAATGGGAATGACAGGACATCTGTTGCTGTGTCCTTTTTTCTATATCTTTTATTCAGTTGTCTAATCCTGGCATCATTTATACATATCACTCCCATATCAAAATGCCCCACTCTAAGGCAGCTTCTAGCAATCTCTAGATTCTTCCGCAAAGGAGCTCTGCGAACATGGACCACGCGCTGCAGGTTCCGTATGAGCAGAGACATCATTCTGTAAAAAACAATAAAAACTTTATTGTAAAAATAAAAAGTCACACTACATGGCTATGCAACGCAGAGTAAAAGGTCAGGAATCTTGACTGCTATGGACAACAACGTCTTCTTGGCATCTTGAAAGCGATGACCTAAATTGCATGTTTGCCTTGTGACCAATTACTTCCTCTCCAGTAGGTGTCTAATCAGACCCATAGAAAAGTTGTTAAAACCAGATGTAATTGTGACACAGGCTGCAGTTTTCAAAACGCTTTCAGGCACAGGAACACGGAGGGCATTGTAGCTTGCACATTACATCTGGGGCACATCATGCCCCATCACTCCTACAATCTCATGTTGCTTGGCTCGCCTAAAGTTTTCCTTTAGTTTAATAATGGGCCCGATGGCCTAAGGATAATCATGTATAAACAAGTGTGTGTATTACATAAACACAGAATGCATGTTTTTCAACCAATGGCTGCACTGGTAGTAAGAATCAAACAATCCTCCATCAGAACCCCCATGGAATAGGGTTCCTTTCACTGACTTTAGAGATACATATATTTACAGTTTTTTGAGCATAAACTAAAACGTCCTCCCCTAAACTTATCAGTGCAATGAAATATGACATTGTTTCAACTGCAGTTAGGATAGACAGCTTTTATCACCCCTTACCTCCTTTTTACCCCTTCTCCCTCATTTTTGCCAGCCAGCACAGGCATTCCAACTATCGGCCATATTTGAAATAAATTTCACACCAGCCTGGTCTGCTAAACGTATGTATGTTGCATGTTAACATGTAACATTTTGTCTCATGACAAAACAATGGATGTATGAAAATTCAAAAGTTGTGATCACCAAAACAACAACATTAAAATCTACTTGTTGGCTAATAGCTACAAAGTACATACTGATACTAGAGGATATTTAGAATCATGGTAATATGTTGCCATGCATTGTGGTGTGAAGCAATGCAGAGCAACACTTTGTCATTTTGCCAATTTCCTGTGAGCCCAGCCTTTTGTCTACATGTTCCCTTCATAGCGGGCATGACATCATGCAGAAGGGGCTCACGTACTGCCGGATTGTGCAATGTTCAGTTCCGGAGTACTGTGAGCCCAGCCTGCATGACAATGGATCCCGTAAGGAGAATTAATGACCACAAATGAATGAAGTGCCTATGATGTCATATTTTTAAGGTACTGCGAGGCGGAAAGTGCTTTGGGGGATGTGGGTGAGGCAGTGACTAAATTGGTGAAGCCCCCTATATCAAAAGATTTAAGCACCACTGGAAGTTGAGAAAACGCATGCACATCTAAGTGCATGCCGGGGATGCCTTGTTCTATGTAACCAGCGGACATTTGCTAGGGTACAGCTATGTCATTAGGCAGGGCACTGATCCTGATATATTGGCACTGATCCTGTTGTCTTGTTTTCAAGCTGCGCTGGACGTTTTTTTCCAGCAGATGGCGTGAACGAGTCCTTATTCAGGAGACTCGGCATGTCTGTAACAATTTCTGGGGTTTCACTTTAACAGGATATAGAACTGATCGTTTCACATATCTCACTTTACAAATCTGCTTTAGCACATATTTCACTGGATGCATATCTGAACTAAATATTGCTCTTCTGTATGCAGCTTATCATTTTAATGGTTTACACTTAACTGTACAATCAAGTCGCTTCACTCCCTCAGGGCTCCTCTTCCAGGACTGTGGGCTGCAGGAGGTCCTCCATCATCTGCCATTAGGAGGCAGGAACGTTCTGCAAGTGGAACCTTTGTTGTAGCTTAGTGGCTGGGGGAACAAGTTATTTAGATGGACAGGAAGTGATTTTGATGAAACACGGGGGAGCTTGTATAGTCAAAAAAGCTGAGTACTAGGAAAAGTATAGGGAAAGAGGTGCATTTTAGCAAGCAGAATACAGGCATTACAATATAAGGAAGACATTACAATCACAATACAATTCAAGACAAGATGGTAAGGAGGGCCCTGCCCGTGAGGTCTAGTGATGAGCCGAACAGGTCCGAGTTCGGTTCGATTCGAACTTTAGAACATCCAAAAAGTTTGAATTTGAACTTAAGGCAAGTCAATGGGGGTAGAACTTTCAAAAACAATTGTGCCCTTTAAGAGGACTTATATGCAACTTATTGGCCATAAACTGTGTATGAGGATCCGGGTACTGCCCCGGGGGACAGGAATCAATGAAAAAATAACTTTTTAAAAATACCGTTTTAAAGGAGCAGTGGTTTTAACATCACTTAAAGGGTGACAATAAAAATGAAAAAGTCCTTTAAATATCGTGCCTGGGAGGGTCCACTTACCCTGCCTGTAAAGTGGCGGATCTGTACAATGTATAGAACCTGCTGCAGCAAAACTGACATTTCTAAAGAATAAAAAATTAGATTTTTTTTTTTAAGTGTGAAGTTCCCCCCTCCCAAACACTACCAGACTCTTTAGGTCTGGTTGTAATATTAGGAGGGACCCCATTAAAAAAAGAAAGCATGGGGTTCCCCCCAAAAGTCATACCAGACCCTTAAGGTCTGGTAGGAATATTTAGGAGGGACGTTGTGTAAAAAAACACAACAAAAGTGTGTGGGGTTCCCACTTAAAGTCATACCAGGCCCTTCAGGTCTGGTAGGAATTTGAAGGAGGAACCCCACCCCAAAAAATGTGGGGGGGGGGAAACGTGGGGTCCCCCTAAAATTCCATAGCAGACCCTTGATCCGAGCATAGGCCTGTCATACCAGGCCACATGCCCTTGGCACTGGGAGGGTGCTTTCCCAGGATCGCCCCTGGAAAAGCACCTTGTCGCCGTGCCGATGGGGACAAGGGCCTCTTCCCCACAATCTCTGGGGCGTTGGTTGTGGGGGTGTGGGCAGGGGGCTTATTCACATCAGCATTTAATAAAGGGGCACCCAGATGCGGCCCCTCGTGAATTGAAAAAAAACCCACAAAGGATTTTGACAAGTACTTTCTTTTTGATCCCCCCCCCCTAAAAAAAAGACTACACGACGACCCACCGCCCCAACGACTCGACAAAATAAAACAATAAAAAATAACACACAAATAATGGCATTTTGACATGCCAGCAAAAGATAAACAATTGGGCGGAGCTAGCAATGAAAGCTAGCTCCTCCCAACTGTACAGTTTCACATCATCTGACAGGTGCACCATGATTGGGCAAAGTCATCATGACTTTGTCCAAACTTATAACATGGGTGCAAAAAATGAAAAAAGGGCCTCAGTCATGAAGGGGTTAAGGTGCCCATACACCTGCTGATTATCATAATAGCGGGTGATCCCGCGATCGTACGATAATTGGCAGGTGTATGGAAGGCGTGCGACCGTTTCTACTGTAAGGTTGCACGTCTTTTGTCTTCCGAGCACGCTCGAAAACCCGCCGAACATCGTACGAATTTTGGCAGGTTAGTGGCGTGCTCGGAAGACAAATTCCGAACGGGCCGGTGTGCACAAGCGCACACTTCCCGCTCAGCATTGCAGTCATCGGAAACCCTCCCCTCAGGGGGGCGCGGCTTGTGATGATCGCAAATACAATCTGCCTGTCCAAGATGGGCAGATCGTATGAGATTTTAATTACCTTACAACCATCACACAACGAAAGTCGTGCGATGGTTGTAAGGTGTATGGGCACCTTTAAGCTGGCCATACACCTTACAACCTTCGCAAGACTTTTGTCTTGCGATGGTTGTAAGCTAATTAAAAGCTTGTACGATCTGCCCATCTTGGACAGGCAGATCATACTTGCGATCATTGAAAGCCCGCCCCGCTGAGGGGCGGGCTTCCGATGACTCCAATGCCGCACGGGCAGTGTGTGCTTGCGAACACCGGTAGGGTCGCACGCTTTACATACACCTGCCAATTATCGTACTATCGTGGGATTTCCCTCGATTATCGTACGATAATCAGCATGTGTGTATGGGCACCTTTACAGAGTACTAAGCTCTGATTGGGCAAAGTCTTGGCGCATTGCCTTGTGGGGCGCTCAGCGGTCGAACGGACCACCGAGCGCCGTTATAGTTCGTGTGTTCGCCGAACGCACGAACTAGCAATGTTCAAGCCCAACTCTAGTGAGAGCTTACAATCTAAAAGCGAGGGGCAGGTGATATATGAGGAGGTACATATTCAAAGTTTTACAGCTTGCGACAAAACTCTCAGGTGTGAACAAGGGGCCGTTGAAATGAATGGGATTTATTTTTTTTGTTGCGCTTAGCTTTGAGCGTCAAAACGCCTAGGTGTGAACAGAGACTAACTGTAGTGTCCTCCTTATATTATACGGTGCTGCACTAATTCATCAACACCGGAGCAAACTAAATCTGTCACAGTTGCCCAGAGCAACTAATCAGTTTCTATTTTTCATTTTCAAAGCTTCATTGAACAAACTGAAGAGAGAAGCTGATTGGTTGCTTTGAGTAACTTAAGTTGCAGATCCCCAGCTGATGTTCTCGAGCATGCAAATAACAGCTAGAGCTCTACAGGCTGAGAAACCCTGATCGATCAATGTGATAAGGAGCACTCAGTGGTCATACACAATACACACATACAGCTCTCCTCATTGGCACACAGCTCTCAGCCCCGCCCCTCTGTCACTGGCACAGTGTTGCTCTGATTGGCTTCCACTTGCTCTGCTCATATCAGCATACCATGATGCAGGATCAGACGGCATGCTGCATTCTGGGAGATGTTGTCTTTACTGCAACATGTAGCCTTAATACCTGTGCTCTACAAACTACAGCTCCTAGCAGTCTATGCGCTCAGGCAATCCCACTTGATTTAAGTGCTGCACGAGTGACCAGAGCAAAACAGCACAGCTATGAGTGAGGGGACGTAAGTATTGTAGCATTGTGTCTATGTGATAATGTTTATGTCTTGAATGAACGTATTGGTGCACAGCAACTGCACTTCTAATGATAACATGCAGAGTTCTTACAGTTACGCAGCTTCTTTCTTTCATTAAAATACTAATATCAACGTATTCAAAAAATGGCATGCAACATGAAAGGCTAAGAAAAATAAATGTGTACATATAGATTTACTGGAATCAAATAAAACTTAAATGGTTTGCTCATTGACTCTTATGTGTTGTTGTTATTATTATTATTTATTATAATAATAATAATACAGCAGCTATAATGGGGTTACTACAAATGTCCGGGTAACACATTCCAAAAACCTAACCGTAGAGGAATATTTGTTCTCATTTTTCTTTTAAAATATTGTATCGTATTGTATTCGCGGGGTACCTAAAAGTCTGTTTTTCTAAAACAAAATCTTATGTTCTACAGCATCAACATACATGTTGCCATAGCAACAAAAATAATAATAATTACTCAAGCTGTGATCTTATAGTAAATCTGTCTTACAAGATATATTATTGATCCTGTTTAATGGTGCTGCAGTGTTTTAACATTTCTCCCAAAATAAAATAAACGTATGAATTACTTATATTATTTATATGATAGAAATTTATTTAAAACTTGTATAGAATCATGAGACAGCAAAATGCTGGAATCACCTGTAGCCTACTACACAACAGACACCTTTGTCACCCGCTTATCAGGAGAAATGATAGCCATCACACAAGGTTTACTCTGATACATCTGCATTCAACGTCAGACACTAGTGGATTATCAGCCCGAGGATTCCGAAGCTGAGAGCCAGTGTGAATAGTAGCTGGATGGTGTTTTATATCCTACATTGAAGTACCCCCAACAATAAACCCTTCACTACCTGAACACTCAAAAGAAACCTGTCAGAAGACAAACACTGAGGGTGCTATTGTTGAGCTTTGCTTCTGAAGATTCGATTTTTTGTCTGTCATGCTTATTTTATGGCTTCATTATTTTTAAGAAGAACTCCGGGCAAATAAAAAACAGGTGCAGGGGTAGACCCTCTGCAAGGGTTAAGTGCTCGCTTTGTCGGGGAGGGGGGGCTCAAATAAAGTTGTTTTACTTACCTGCTGTCAGTGCTCACCCCTCTCCCCCTTCACTCCAGCCATGAAATGTCCCTTGGTGTCCTCACGTCTTATCCAGGTCAATGGACCTGCATAAGACATGATGACCATGTCAGTGGTCCTTAGGCTGAGCCCAGGGGAAAAGAGGCTATGAGGACTGGTCTAGCAGCCCCGATGAAGCCAGGATCGGGTAAATAATTCTGCTTTATTCCAGCCCCTAGACCAAAATGAGCACTTAACCCTTGCAGTGCAGGTGTAGCCTCACAGCAAGGACAAGTTTTTTTCAGCCTTAGGGGCCTAGTCACACTTTTGCATTGCAGCAATGTGTGGCAATTCTGGTTACTCGCGCTGATTCAATGCAGTGGCATTGATTGTGACTGGTCTCCCAATACACACCTTTTTTGCTGCGTTCTTGTGCATTAGGCAGCTTATTCAAATGAATAGGCTTACTTAACCCAATGCATGTTTTCAGAAGTAGGTCAGCGATGATAGCCTCCATATTGCTCTTGTTTATTTTAACACTTATCCCCTCTCTGACACTGCAACTCACAGTGGGAAGGTTTCAGGCAGTGTTGTCAATCTAGAAAGCCGTGGGCAGGACTGGGTGTTATTGACAGGCTCCAGTGGTAATACTGATAGCCACGCCCCCTGCAACATCTTCTTATTCCACTCTAGTGCAAGCAGACACAGCCTATATGAGATTGGCAACTCTGCCCTTCATTCCAGAGCAATGCTGCATTGTTGTCACACCATCACAGGAAGCTGCATTAGGTGAATCTTACTGGCAGGATCAATAGGTATTTGTGAGAGTTTTCAGAAGAATTACAGGAGGCTGTACGTACAGATGCGCTTATAATAAAGTGTTGCAGCACATACTTTTTAATGTAAGGTCGCAGTTCTATGTTAACAAAAACAGAAATTCTGCCTGATGTTTTTTAGTAACACAGACATTTCCTTTTCAGGTACTTTTTGAACAGTAATGCCTATTACATAATTAGTTTCTTCTGCTTTTTATCTTTCCATCAGGTGCCTGCGGAGAAGGGGGGGCCCTTATAAGACTGACCCAGCAACAGATCTCACACGCTGGCGCCTCACTTGCAAAGAGGGCAGGCAAACCTGGCGCTATGTGGAGGAAGAAGAAGACAGACCACAGAGTGTGCTGGAGGCACATTCTCTAGGACTGACTACGGTAAATAAGAAGTCACGCTCAACCATATAACTGAACACAATAAAGCATACATCATGTTAATCAGATGTAGTTGCTCTCCTGGACTTCAGAAAATGCAGGTACCATAGTGCCACTATTTAAAACATGCTAGTTATGAAAAAATATATAGGCTGCCATTTCGTTCCTTTTTTTGAAAATACTAGGTGCCTGGCTGCCATGCTGGAACTCTGGCTTCAATGATTTCTGAATCACTGGTTTCCGACCCTGCATGCCTGTTATGGGTCTTTGACTGGGAAGAACTGAAGCCAGAGACCGCCAGGGAACTAGCATTTTCAGATTGAGAACATTGAATGGTGTTCAAGTTCCATATAATAACTCTTTAACACAAACAAGCACATGATTAGAGGTTCTGTACATTATTGGGTGTATTTATTTACAATTCGCAGAGTAATTTGCCCTGTGAAATCGACGGTACATGCGTCTGTACAAATGGAGGCAAAAAATGAATGTTATTAGCATATTTCATTTCCAGACTGAATGCAATTTCAGGAAAATGCCACATTATGGCCACTAGAGGGATCATCGGAAATAAATACTTCTTTCTTATGCTCCTCAGCTTCAAGGAGAATTATGGGGAGAGTGAAATACACTATATATAATACAATAAATAAAGATAATACAATAATTAGAGCCGACGTGACACAGAAGCTGTCACACATCGGCCATATTGATGGGGAACTGAGCGATCATATACGGCTGATCGCTCATTTCCTGTTCTTCTCCCTGCAGCGAGCAGTGACTGTCAGTCACCATTTCCCGCAGGGATTCCCCCCTCCTCGCTCGCTGACTGATGGGATGGAAAGGGGAGGGGGCGGGCACAGCTGGCGCTGTCTCTAAAGAGGCAGAGCCAGTTGTCAATCAGGTGGCGCGGTGGATCCCTAAAATATTGATCGCTATATGCTGAGTTCTGTGTCATAGGAGGACAGGATACATATCCTCCTGTGATCTTAAAGAGAACTATGGCCAAAAAAATGTTGGCCCATAGTTCTCTTTTCAGCTAGGGGTCATAATGTGGTATTTTCCTGACATTGCGTTCAATCCCCTACTGAGAATGTTATATATGTGGCAATTACACCAACCGTCTGGCTTCAGTACTATCTTAGTTACACACCTGAAATAAGTACACAGATCAGTAAACTAACAGTCAAGTCCGATGTCCTTATCTGTATGCTTTTACTGTTGAATCAAACGGGTCAACATGACAGCCAGGCAGTTAGCATTTGCAGAATGAGAATTCGGCAATGGCTGCCTCTATGTTTCCCACAGGAAAGGTTTTCTTTAAGTGTCAAACACTCTTTCTGTGTGCTTTTTTGGCCGCTGTGTGTAAAAGGTAAGTAACATTGAACTTATTTTTTTACACAGAGTGAGCTTCTAAATGAATTTCCAAAGGCTCTTACAGCCCAGGACGGAGCTGAAAATGGAATGACATTTTATTCTGCTTTACAAGCTGAAGATGGACATTGGGCTGGTGACTATGGAGGACCACTTTTCTTAATGCCAGGTAACGGTTGTCAGCATTTTTTTTTAACTTGAGCTCAATCTGCCTTTGATGTTTTGAATGTAAAGTAAATATATGTTGCTTTCTCAGGTCTCCTGATTGCATGTCATGTGACCCAAACTTCACTTCCCGAGGCTACAAAGAAGGAGATGGTGCGCTATCTGCGCTCTGTGCAGCTTCCAGATGGTGGATGGGGCCTGTAAGTTTACACCTTACACATTATTACGGGATTAAGGATTTCCCGTTCACAGCATACCTTTCAGAATGTGTTTTCTCTGGACTGTAGACATGGCAGGAGGTAAACATATAAGGTATATGTTTACAGTGCCACAGGTTGTTGGGAAATTATGCTATCAGTTATGTGTAGTGTGCTTTTATTAAAAATAATGGTTAGTTTAAAGGGAACCAGTCAGAATAGAAACAAAGGCAACTGTTTTTTCTCTCTTATTCCTAAAGATGTATATGCTGATGCTTTTATCCTCATCCTTGATTTACTGTATAGTGAGCAACTGACTTAGCACAAATATGGAACTTGTGAATTTGTGAATTACATACATGTATATGTTCTAGGTTAGTAAATCACTAAGTAATGAAGACAGGATGAGGACAATGACCACAAATCTCATACCTTTAAAAGCTGTGGTAACTTCTGTCCTGGCAGATTCTCTTTACAATATTATATCATTCATAAAATTATTATGTATGTAAATATATCATCAACAGGGATGCACCGATACTGGTGCCGGTGCTGATGCAGAGTATTGGGCGAGTACTCATACTAGCCCGAATGCTCCGATGCCTAGGTTGATACCTGAGCTTCCGGTATCAAGAAGCCGGGCAGCGAGTCACTTGATGACGAGGGAGCAAGGAGCTGGCTTGCCAGCGTGTACTGACTCGCCGCCTAGTTTCCTGATTGGTCGGGAAGCTGGACAATCAGGAAACTGGATGGCAAATCATTACCAACCCCCCGGCTTTCTGATTGGCCAGAAAGCCGGCTTCATGCTCCCTTGTCACCTGGTGACGAAGGAGCATGGAGCTGGCTTCCCAGCTAATCAGGAAGCCGGGCAACGAGTCATTACACGGCGCCCGGCTTCCTGATTTGCCAGAAAGCCGGCTCCATGCTTCCTTGTCACCGGTTGACGAGGGAACATGGAGACGATTTCCCAGCTAATCGAGAAGCCAGGTGGCGAATCATTACACGCCGCATGGCTTCCCTAATGGGACATTCGGTATCAACGAGTCCCGAAAAAAACATATCAGTACTCGATACCGAAAAACTGGTATTGGTGCATGCCTAATTATCAATATAAAAAACATCTGGAATGTGTGTTTGTGTGTGTGTGTGTGTGTGTGTGTGTGTTTTTATATGCTGCCCTCTCCTTTTGAAAATTGTTGCCTGGTTACATTGTTGCTCTAGTAGTTGTAGTGTTTTATAGGTTCCAATCTGGTAGTATGCAGATTAGGAGTTCTGAATTTATTGAAAGGTTGCCAACACCACACCACTACCTTGCAATAAGAAGCAGCATTGCCAGCCTGCTGTGTGCACTTCTTCAGTTGGACGTTGGGTTACCTATCAGGAATATCGCATAGGTAGCCCATCAGACAACTGAAGAAGCTCCTATGGCAGGATGACAAAGCTGCTGCTAATTTGGCAATGGCTTAGAATTATCAGTCTGAAAAAGGAAGTGCTATTACTGGGTTTACACACTTTAAAGATGGCTAAAGGTATTTAAATGTTTTTGATTAGAACAATTATATATTGTGTGTCACTGGAGTTCTAAAAAACTTTTCATTCTGGCTGAGGATCTCTAGTAATAAAATATTTTTAATTCAGACATGTTGAAGATAAGAGCACTGTCTTTGGCACGGCTCTTAGTTATACCTCCCTACGCCTGCTGGGAGTATCACAGGATGACCCAGATCTGACCCGGGCCAGGAACAATCTTCACAGTAAAGGTAACTTATATATAGAAAAAATTTCTTCTTCCACTCTCAGGCTTGGCTTAAGCTACATACACAATCCCCTAAAAAATATTTTACAGCTTACAACATTTTTCAAGTTCTTTTGATCTTCCAAAGAGAGGTCTCATTCAGCTTCCAGCTCCATGCAGCAATACAGAGGTTTCTTGCAGCCTCATTCTTAGTGGAGCTTGGTAATGGTGCACAAAATACAATAAATGTACAGGTCATAGACAGTGGGAGGCGAAGGTGAAGGGGTTAATGTACAGGTCACATACAGTGGGAAGATGGAGATGAAGGGGTTAATGTATAAATGTGCAAGATAAGTGAGGTTAATATACAGGTCAGAGCATAGATAGAATGGATCTAATATAATCAGGAGAAGAGCGGTGTTAAAAAGGTTAAAAATATTTGAAACTTTATTTATTTTTTATGCTGCTACTGCAGCTTTTTTTCACTTGTAAGTAATAAATAGATAACTCATCCATTCCTTACTCACTTTACTCTCCCCTGTCTCTCATATTATGGAAAGGGGATGGCTTGGCAATGTAAATATTGACATGTGATTGCTATGATAACCAATCACCGAGATCACAGGACACAGAGCTGGTCCAATCTGCTCTGTGTCTGAAGCTGCTGTTCTCCGCTGCCTAATGACAGTGGGAGCAGCAGCGGCCGCATGCACACACGCATTCAAGGGAGGGCATACAGGTACGTCCTCCTGGACCAATGCGCCAGTAGATCGGCCGCTTTAATATAGTGGCCAGTAGTTAAAGCCCATCGCCGGGCACAAATTGATTGACTATGCATAGTGCGCTTGCTCTTTCAGCATTGGGCCATAGACTAAGCCTTAGCAGAAGCGGCCGCTGTCAGCCCTAGAGGACATGCACCTGCAGGCACATGAACAGGAAGCTGCTGGGAGGAAGAGAGCTGTACACGGCATGTGGATTTCAAGGAACAAAAATATCATTCTAAATTATTGGAGGTAAAAAAACAAGGTTACTATTTAACTGATAATAAACCCTAAGCAAGAAGTTTTTTGCTACAACTTTAATATGCTTTAATACTGCAGAGCATATTTAAATAGAATAGGGGATACTGTTCCAAGAGACTTTAAAATGTCAACGCAGGTCTGACAGTGTGATGATGGATTTAATTTGTTTATATGCAACACAATTTAGAATTTTTAGAGTGTGAAGATATTAAATGAAAAATATCACTAAAAGCCCCAAATATTGTTGTACCCTTCCCATCTGATATCTTCTTCCTCCTGTCACAGGTGGTGCCATTGGGATTCCATCCTGGGGAAAATTCTGGCTGGCTGTACTTAATGTGTACAGCTGGGAGGGGATGAACACGTTGTTTCCAGAGATGTGGTGAGTTATTTCTGTTCTATTGCATGTTATGGTGTTTATATCGTTCATCATTTGCCTTTGTATTATCATTATAAAATATATACTACCACAAGGTAAGAGCATGCGTCTGCTAAAACCAGCAGATCATTCTGCATTGTCTTCTAAAAAAAGACATTTTGGGATCACTCCACATTTTACAAGTCCAGTATCCCTTTTTTTTTATTTTTTATTTATTTAAGCCCTAATAACCTTTAATCTACTCCTTAATACCATATTAAAGGAGAACTATGGGGTCAGGGCTTTTCCCCATAGTTCTCCTTAGGGTAAAGGGAGGACACAAACAAGCGTCCTCCCGCTATAGCTCGCGGTATGCTGAGACGCCGCAGTCGGAGCGGATCCCGACATCGATGTCGAGATCCGCCCAGCTGCGTGAGTGACAGCTGGCTCTGCCTATCTAGAGGCAGAGCCAGCTGTACCCGCCCCCTCCCCCGTCCGTTCCGCCAGTCAGCGCTGGCAGATCGGAGAGGGGAATCCAGCCCCTCCCCTGTCACGGCAGAGAGCCGTGACAGGATCGAGAGGTGAGCAAACCCGGTATGTGTTCGCTCACCTCCCGATCTACTGAGCCGACCTGTGACAGTCTCATTGTCACAGGTCGGCTAGAACTATGAGGTGAGTGAAAAGCACTCACCTCATAGTTCTCCTTTAATCCCTAAATGTTTTTATTTACCTTAGCAGCACTACTGGTTGTAAAACCTGACTGATCACAGTTAAAATATCAATTCTAAGAACGGCTGCTCGGCACTGTATATTTTTTACTTTAATTGAATCACATTTTCTTGTTTAGCTCCTTTTCCTTACATCAATAAAATGTGTTTTTCAGGCTTTTTCCGCAGTGGTTCCCTGCTCACCCCAGCACCCTGTGGTGTCACTGCAGGCAGGTTTACCTACCCATGAGTTATTGTTATGCCACAAGGCTAAGTGCCCGTGAGGATGACCTGATTCGCAACTTGAGACAAGTGAGTAGAAGACCAAGAATTTTAATTTTTCTTTCTACCAACAAGTTATTTACAAATGTTGTTTTCCTTTAGGAACTCTATGTGCAGGATTACAACAGTATTAATTGGCCATCACAGAGAAATAATGTTGCCCCTTGTGACCTGTACACCCCCCACAGTACACTGCTGAATTTCGCTTATGGTAAGAGGCCTACCTATAAATATTGTGTCTTATGGTGCCAACATATGCTACAGTTTGTATTACCTTTTAAGTTATTTGATTTGTTATCCAGCATGTCAGGCAATGTCTGACAGCAAGTGAGGGGAAACCTTTCTAGCAGTATAAACCCATTAAGGGTTATAATAATACATCCCCATTCTGTCCAAAACTAAACAAGTATGATGTGAAATACACTTTAATGATTTTGTGCTCAAGATTAGAACACTTTTTACTCAAAATCTCAGGCAGTATGATAGTGTTTAAATTATAATAACCTATACAAACTAAAGAGATTTTTAGGTTATTTTGGTCATGTCAGGGAAAGAGAATTCCTAATTGACTGTTATGGGTTACTGCACTTTTTCTCCTTCAGTGTTGTACCTGAAAGTTGTCTGTCAATCTATATTCATTTGTATGTTTTTAATTTTTTGCAGTCTTGCTGAATATATATGAATCGTACCACATTCCTGCCCTCCGTCGCCGTGCAGTACATGAACTGTATGACCACGTTACAGCAGATGACCGCTTCACCAAATGTATCAGCATTGGTCCGGTAAGAATTTAGTTTATGCACTAATTGCACATGTATGAGCAGATTTAGTAGAAGAAGTCAATACTTATGATACTGTACATAAATGACTAGATTTAATGAATGAAATTAATACTGATGATGATAATGTAGTTATGAGACTGGCCTTTATGTTTCACAGATCTCAAAGGTGATTAATATGCTGGTTCGCTGGCATGTGGATGGATTGGAGTCACCTGCATTCAAGGAGCATGTAGACCGCATACCAGATTATCTTTGGTGAGAATATAGCTTCAGCTAATGGAGTAAAATGCTTGTAGTTGGCAACATGCAAAATGAAATGGAGCCATTTCATGCTAATAATTATTTAAAGGAGAATTATGAGGTGAGTGATTTTCACTCAGCCTCATAATCTGAGTCGACCTGTGACAATGAAACTGTCATAGGTCGGCTCAGTAGATCGGGAAGTGAGCGAACACATACAGGCGCTCGCTCACTTCTCGATCCTGTTCCGGCAGAGAGCTGTGACAGGCGAGGGACTGGATTCCCCCCTCCCCTGTCCGATCCTCCAGCGCTGACTGGCGGAACGGATGGGGGAGGGCCGGGTACAGCTGGCTCTGCCTCTAGATAGGCAGAGCCAGCTGTCACTCACGCAGCTGGGCGGATCCAGACATAATTGTCGGGATCCGTTCCGGTTGCGGCGTCTCAGTATACCGTGAGCATTACAAATGCCTCTTGATCACAATCTGTAGTCTGTGGTAACCTTATGCTGGCCTTGATTAGCTCTGAGTAATGTTTTATCTATTTGTTGCTGCTTTTCTTAAAGTATTTCCTTATTACAGGTTGGGTCTGGATGGGATGAAGATGCAGGTAAGTACTGTTTTGTATGCTTATGTAATTTTTTTAAATATTTGTGTAGAACACTTTGAAGGTCACATGTCCAAAATGTTTATCTGTAGCCAGCAATCAGATTCTGCTGTTCATACAGACTATTTCCTTCAGTCTTGGGCTTTTCTGGCAGTGCAGTGAGCATAATAGAGTACCTAATAGAAGACAGTCTCATTAAGTTAGTTTTTTAAATCTTCTAGGGGACCTAGTGCACATCACACTTGTTCCTTTTTAAATCTGTCAAGTGGTTTATAAATAAAACCACATTTATTTTCTGTCAGTTCTGGCTGTAGCTCCTTCCCAGGCTGAAGCTCAAATTATGGGCATTCCTAGAGAGGAATAACAGCCAGCACTGATGCCCCGCCTCCTCTCCATTTTGCAGTTCCCCATCTATTATTTTAGCCTTGTTCCTCCCCTACTCTCCTATCAATGTTTTTATGTGTTTTACTTATAAAACACAGACTGAGCCTTAAACCAGCCACCTGCTGTTTCAGAGGCGAGAATACAGCTGTAAGTGTTGGCTTGCCTCATTGTGAATGGGGTGCCGTCATTTACAAAAACACAAGTACACAACAAAACAAGCCAGATACTACACTAGTCTGCCTTGGATCATTTCCCTTTGCTTGGGGGCAATTTGTTTAAAATTGAAGGTGTAGAAGTACTATGTACATGTATGATTAGCAATTCAGCATGTAAGTGTAGTGAAGAAGCATGAAATAAAATCTCATGGTTTTGGTCTTCAACAGAGTCTCTTTAACTTTTTATGCTTTTTGTTTTTGTTTTCCCAGGGAACAAATGGTTCTCAGCTGTGGGACACAGCATTTGCTGTACAGGCTTTCCTGGAGGTATAAAAGCTGTAGTGATTCTTGCCTTATTAAGTTATTTTGTTTTAAAGAGAGTTGGTAAGTGACAGAACATCTGTCAGGGTTTTATTGCTTTGTGTCCCCACTCGAAAAATTAGATACTACTTCCTGTCTTGTTGCCACACCATAGCATACAGGGGTTCACCAGTACAGGAAGTAATTAGAGATCTTTGCAATGGGGACACCGATAATACCTAAATAAGCATTAACCCTTCTCCAAGCTAATAAAAAGATGATTTTATTACTGTATGTGTTTTCTTCGGAGAGACACATGAGGTATTTACAGAGGGACAGAAAGTCAGGATCAAATGCCCGTAACAGGGTCACATTAATGACAAACCTGAATTTCAAACTTTTCTCACTCTGAAGCAAAAATCAAAAAATTAGTTGAAGTGGGGCATTAACATAAAAGTTTGTTAGCGTTATAAATATATATACAGTATGTTCTACTCACTGCCCACCAAGAGGATAAAATGCATGAGTGGGATGCTATTTGGACTCTTGGCTTTTTTCCCTCCGAGTTT